GGTGAGCGCTTTCGGCTGGTTGAACAAGCGTCGCAGAAAACTGCATGAAATCCACAATCGACGTTTGCTCCATGGAATTCAACATCCCTCACTCTTACCCAAGCCAAGAGGTGACTGAGAAAGGGCCACAAGCCATTTTGTAAATGGTTAGAAGGATTTACGGGTAATAGGATATTTCAACAATTAGCATCCATCTCTAAATATGAAGACTGGGATGTGCTAGAAGATGTGGAGATCACCAACGACACCCAATAGTCAGGTTGATGGAGCACTGAGGGTTGGGGCATCAGGGACCCCTACGTGGATTTCAGGATGCGCAAATCCGTAACGAACACCAGCGATGTACCAAAGAGTACGTATTATAACCTCCTGTCCCCATAAGAATGCAACACAGACCATTCATATCAGGGGAGGCGGGCGCCGGAATGCAGTGAGGGTGTGTTTCCACCTACTAAATATGTCCGTTTTCCACTTAGTATAGAAAATAAATAAATACGATGCCTTCTTTTACAACTGCAGTTTTCTGGGGGCTTCGTATGTGGCAGGCGCGGTAAGCCCTTTCCCCCACTTCTTCATCACATCACCGACTTGAAGAAATGGCTCAGGAACGCGGTTGTCACGGGTGACATTTGACTTAATGGTCTTAAAGTTAGTAAACAGGGTCTCTGAGTGCTGGCACGAGTGACATCTGGGACTGGACAATGTTTTGTGGTGGGGCTGGGGTGNTCACCCAACCTGAGGGTCGTGTTTCCATAGCACCCAGGATCTCCAATGCCAAGGTCATCAGCTATCAGCACGACGAAGTTGGGCTTAGAGGTGGCGCGGCTCTGGGCCTCACATAGGAAGAGCAAGAGAAGCAAACGGATCTTCATCTTCCTGCAAAGAGAAAGAAGAGAGAGGTACGTGAAGCATGCTGGCGTGTGGTGGGCCGTCCACCTTCTTTTCCAGAACCTTCCTCCTTCCTCACTCATTCTTGCAACCCATCGGCCCTCAGACAACATGTGCTCCGAAGACATACTGTTTGTGATGTCACAGGGCAAAGAATTTTATCCACATTCCGGTGCGTTTGTTTCCAAAACAAACCTTTCCTTCTCACGGAGAGCAATGGCCTCTCCTTTCTACCCCAGACCAAAACAGGTTCCGTTTTGAACAATGAAAACACAGCCACCTCCCTCTCTCTTTACAGAAGGTGGGCTCCGTCACTAGTTAAACGTTCTCTATTTGAGCCCTGGAAAGACAGGCATATCATAAAGAGCAAATTTTCAGGGTCACATCCTTTCAAAAATTAGCTGTGAGCGTGGCGGTAGCAGCTTTTCGAAGGGAAACAGAAACATTGGCAAATTTTTCCAAACTCCAGAAACACGAGGTGCACAGTCTCGGGAAGCTCCGGGGACTGGCTAAGAGGTCAGAGAACACGCATCCAGGAAAGGAATCCATCCATCGTCTAGGGCTGTCATCGCAACACACGCTCGCCCTACACCAGTCCATTCCTTTTGAGAATGGGCTGGAGACATCGGGGAAGGAGGGGCCTCAAGCACACACACCGGGAACCCCCTCTCTTATGCCCACAGGGATGGCCAAGTGAACATGACAAGAGCAACGCTGCCTGCAAGCACGTGACCAGCTGGGGGCCAGCAGCATTCTCAGTCCCGATTGCCTTGGCTCTGTAATGATGGCGTTAAATGACCAAGGGCCAGACCAAAGGCTGCATCACTGGAGTCTCACGCCCATCCTGGAAGAACTTGGAACCAGGAAATCGAGAAAGACCTTAGCAGAACATATCACATCAGGGATACACTGGGGATGCGAAGGGCGGGATACGTGCATCACACAGGAGCTGTGGGGCTCTGCACAAGGCCGTGTGCTCTCTCTCTGAACACACTCTCTCACATCAAATAGTCAACACCTGCTGCTTGAGCCAATGAGTAAATAACCCCTGACCGCATCCCTGGATGTGA